CGTTGAAGGTCGGCCGTGGTCGTCGGCGGTCGACAAGGGAAGACAGCGCTCGGCGGTGATGCTGAGCTGTAACTTCCCTCAAGGTCTTTGGCTCTCTCTCTAAACTTCAGCTTCCCCTCATGTGAGGGGTGGGGCTATATTTATAATGTTCTGGGTGCAATTAATGCAGGAATATCAACCATTTTGATCGGACGGTCCAGAGAGTTTCCTCCCATCATACCACATTTAATGGACATTTGAGTGTCTTAACGATGTCGGAATTGAGTGATATTGGTCTCGTTGGATTTGTCTTGGCGAGCCGCTTGATTCAAGTATAAACTTGCCAGTTTCTATATTTGTTTGACATTTCAAATGTGTCCAGAAATATTCCAATAATGGTTTAATGACTGGATCTGAGCTTGATTTGACTCAGATTGGACTAGTTTTCATATCATTAGGTCCGTCTCTTCGAGCCGATCAATATGACTATAATTTTGCTGAAATCGAAGTTTAGATGACTTTTTATCAATATTTAAATGTTTTTTGCTTAAAATATCGTCTTGAGATTTGTGTTATGCTTCGAGATTCGTGCTAGATGATGAAAGTTTGTTAGTGGCGTATCATTTCTCTTGTAAGTGTATCTTCTTCGGTGTATCTCGATGTAGAGTTTCTTCGGTGTATCTCGGTATATAGAGAGAAGAAGAGAGAGCAACAAAGTGAGAGAGCTGCGAAGAGTGAGAGATTCCTCTTGTAAGTCGATGTGATCGACTGGTGTAAATTTTTCAAGTAGTAAAATCCTCTGCAACTTCGTGCAATATGCCAAACAATGTAAATCTGTGTGTTTCGCTGAGTTACTATTTTATTGTGTGAATTTTCTCGTTCTATTTTTTGCTTTGTCGATCATTCTCATGTTTGATTTATATATATACCACATCAACTGATATATCTCACAACAACTTGTATGAGATCTTTATTCAAATCTGAGAAAGAATGATGACTGCAAATGAAGTAAAAGTTTTAAGGATCGAGAAATTTGATGGCAGCGATTTTAGTTACTGAAGGATGCAGATAGAGGGCTACCTATATGGGAAGAAACTTCATCTTTCGTTATTGGGGAAAAGATCTGAAAGGATGGATGAGACTGAATGGAATTTGTTGGAGAATTTGTTTCGACAGGTTCTGGGGGTTATTCGATTGGCCTTATTGAGGTTTGTTGCACACAACGTCGTCAAGGAGATGACAACTGCATATCTCATTGCAGCCTTATCAGATATGTATGAAAAGCCTTCGGCGAATAATAATGTGTACTTGATAAAGAAGTTATTCAACTTAAAGATGACGGAAGGTGTTTCTAATGCTCAACATTTTAATGATTTCAATATTATCACAAATCAATTGTCGTCTGTTGAAATTGATTTTGATGATGAGATACGTGCGCTGATATTGTTGGCATCGTTGTCAAATAGTTGGGAAGTCATGATGATGACAGTTAACAGTTCTGCAGGTAAATCTAAGCTGAAATATGATGATATTTATGATTTGATTTTGGCTGAGGAAGTGCGCAGGAAAGATTCTGGTGTATTCTGGCAAGATCTCAGGTACGAGTTCGGCACTGAATGTCATTTCGACAACCTGCTGAAATTGTGCCAATGTTGGCCACATAAAGAGGAACTGCAGAAATCCCAAGAATATAGAGAATGATAACACAAATGTGGTATCTGAAGAAGTACAAGATGTACAGATGTACTAACAAGATGTACTATTGCTGACAGTTCATAATTTTGTTGATGATGAAAGTGAAGAGGAGATTGGGTCCAGGGCATCAATTCATATTGTTCCACATACAGATGGTGGAGAACCACAGAGCTATGAAGAAATCTTGCAAGATGAAAGTTCGAGCAAGTTGGAGCTGACAGAACTTCCACTAGGGAAGACGACATTACACAACAAGTGGGTGTACCATGTCAAGACTGAGCTTGATGACAATAAGAGATACAAGGCTAGACTTATTGAAAAAGGCTTCAGTAAAATGATGATATTTCTCATGCAGTGGGTGTTGTAAGAAGAGACAAGAGTAATCCAGGAAATAACTTGGAGGTGCAAGGCTATTTGGACCCTGCTGATATGTTGACTGAGGGTGTTACTCTTGAGAAACTGAAGTTGGTCTTTGATCTTTTGGAGTGATGACAGAGGCTTTGAGTTGTAGAGGTGGATGATTCATGTTTTAAGAAAAGGGCAACACCGCCAGCGGAGGATATCAATTTGAGGAAGGAGATGTTTATGTTTGTGTATCGGTCTCCAAGTGGGAGATTTTTTGCGCTGAAGCCCGATTCTGATTTCCCGCTCTAGCATCCCCGATCGCGAAATGTCGCGACATCTCCCGCTCCTGATCGCGCAACATCACAAATTGCTCTCGCTTCCCTGCTGTTCGCGAAACCACTCTCGCCTTCCATGTTTCCGTGAAGCGAAGCACCTCTTCGCTTGTTATAAGTCGCGAACATAACATCTTCCTCGCATTTAATCGACTGCGTGGTTCGAAAGAGGAAGAAAGGTATTGCGAGGTATCACGTGACTCTCCTTTAGATTTGGCACGGTACAACCTTTTGTGTTCTTGTTCGGATTCATCGGGATAGATGAAGGAAAGTGCAAGTGTAGTTTATTGCAGCAAAAGGAAGAAGAAAGAGGAAGAAGAAGATTGTTCTCCCTTGGCTTCTTCTTGGTGGCTTATGTCGGAAGATAAATTGGGTTTATTTCTCTTGTAAATTTATCTTCTTCGGTATATCTCGGTGTAGAGTTTCTGTGTAGAGTTTCTTGGTGTATCTCGGTATAGAGAGAGAAGAACAGAGAGAGAAGAAGAGAGAGCAACGAAGTGAGAGATTCCTCTTGTAAGTCGGGACGATTGACTGGTGTAAATTCCTCAAGTAGTAAAATCCTCTGCAACTCCGTAGACGTGCAATTTGCCGAACCACGTAAATTTGTGTGTTCTGTTATGCTATTATTTTTTGGTGTGAGTTTTCTCGTTCTATTTTTAGCTTCGTCGATCATTCTCTTATTTGATTTGTATATACACCACATCAACTGGTATAGCTCACAAGACCGACAAGACGGACCCTATGATACAAAAATTGGTTCAATCTAATGTCAATCAAGCTCAGATTGAATCATTAAATCACTTTTTGAGGTTATGGATCATTAATTGAATGTTCAAATATACTTCAAATTTCATATATTTATAGTCGAATTGAATGACTCGACAGGAGGAATACCACAAGTATAAGATCACTCAAATTTGAGGTCATTAATGCACTCAAATTATAAAAAAACCCCTAAATCAAAGGGGATTGATATAGGTCGTTCTATCAACTAATTGAGAAAGTTATTCGCAAAAAGACTAAAATATCTCTCGCTTAGAGGCTATCAATAGACCATAGACCCCTCTTTTTACTTGATTGGGGGGGGAAGGAATGAATTTCAGAGTCTATTCTGGACTAAAGATCCTATGCTAACTTCTAACATCCATAGTCATTGACTACTGTTATCCACCACCAATGAACCGTTCCTGGCCAACGTCGACCGACCCTACTCCCCGCTATCAAACGCATTTACTTTCTAATATCATATCCCAATATGGTCACAATGTATATCATCATTTTAAAGATTCGATGATAACTTCCCACCTCTATAACCACCGCCAACCTCTGCCGGCTGCCCCTGCTCGCCACTACTGGTCATCCCTATTTGCTAACTCATATTTCAAATACAATCATGATGTATAATGTCGTATTGAGGATCCAACAATAAATTCCGACATTTACTACTTAGACCTTTGTATTCATAATACAGTGATTTTTTTAACTCACAAAGTTTTTTTTTTTTTTTTGTTTTTTTTTTGCTTTGTGTTGTTTAGATCGTCATACTCATAACATGGTGCCTTTTATGGACTCCCAAAGTCTTATGTGAGTTGTATACATAGAAGTGTTGTATTCGGTGAAAACTTTTATCCCTGCTCCTCCAGTTATGAGAAAAAACTGTATATTTCGATGCATACACACTTATAGCAGACTATTTTGACCAAGCTAAACTCGGTGATTTTTTCAGGTAAAAAATTCATGTGTATTTCCCTGCTACTTTCAATTATCTATATGTGTTTAAGTCTTCTTGCAACTCCACGACATTAAAGTATCACTCTACATACGCAATCTTTTTAGCACACAATAAAAATAATAAATTATAAGAAAATAACCGTGACTTCACATGATATAACACATAGAATAAGGCCAAACTCGTGCTTCATGAGAATGCAATTTGAACTCAATTAGGAGTGACAAACGTAAAACACGATTAAGATAAATGACATCTTAAGGACTATCATATTAAGACAAACGATCCCACTATAGCAAGTGTACGAGAGAATACTCATTTAGAAGGTAACTAGTCACACATTTTATCTCATAATAACCAAATGTCCATCGCAGTTGAGAACAACATCAGCTTGACTAACAAATCAGCTTGACTAACAAATCCTAAAGCTAATAAATACAACCATGTTTAAAGCATATACACGAGCAATTTGTAAATATTAGTTTTCATCCAATGAAATTTAAATATTTTATTTCAATGAATGTTTTATCTAAAGTATGTATATATCACTGAATTAATTAAACTATATAACACAGAATGCATGAGGGTAGTATCGATTAAACAAACAAAGTGATGATCATGAGCATGGAAAAAATATTATGTCAAGACGATCAACTATCTGGAATTACGTCACCCGCTGTTGACGTGCATGACAACTTGGCCGCAAGTGGTTGGACTTCCAGTTTTTTGATGTCGGGATGAATATTTTATCTAAGCATTGGCTATCACATATTGTTGGGGGTGACATGATGCACACAAACCTTATCTCCCCTAACTAAGAATTATGTGGTACCTAATCAAGCGCGGCTGATTTTTCTGTTGGGTCACGCTCAAATCAAGCTTGCAAATCATTTTTAAAAAATGCAATTTCTGAGTTATCCACAAAATCAGAATATTCTATTTATTTTCTGGACCGTGTAGACGACGGAGCAACACACAGAAGAGAGATGGATTCAGATTACGGTGTTCCTCGCGAGCTCTCGGTTCTGCAGAAGCAGCGAACTCTTTATCAGCCGGAGATCCCTCCCTGTCTCGAGGTATGGCTTTCATATCTCTCACTCTCTCTCTTATTTTAGGATTTTGGTTTTTCTCTGCTTGTTCTCACTGCACGTCTATCGCTTCATCGCTAGTGTGTTGTTTGATTGAGTTGTCTCATTCATTTTGGTCGAATTGTTGGTTTGTTTGTTTTCTGGGTGTTTGTTGGGATCACAGTGAGCTCTGCTGCTGTGTCTCTCTCAGTCTGTTGGATGTATATTGAGATTTTTTATGTCTTCGTTGTTTTGCAAGTTAGATCATTGAAACTCGTTGTTCTTTAATTACGTATTTGTTTCTGTTTGTTCCTATGGTCTGGGTGGCCAAAAAGGAAGTAATGTCGCTTCGTATTGTTCGACGGAAGGCCTTGGCATCAGAGGAGTTGCTTTGCCCGGAAAATTAGTTTTTTATTCTTTGAAAACATGAAATTATTTTATTGGAAATGTGCTGTGATGCTGTGATACTCATAGCTGTTATTGTGATCTTGCTGCTTGGAAGAGTCACTTTTTCATTTTCTAAAAATTTAGTTTTGTGATGAATAAAAGTTTTATTTATTTTACAGCCGAACTTTTTTACTTTATATAAGTTACGCAAAGAGTGAGGGTCCGTTTGATCACAAGTAGGATCTAGCAAATCCTAGGATTATATAATCTTTAACATTGTTTTACATGGTAGTTGTTAAGTTAAGTATGATGAATAGTTTGACTGTAGATTTAGGATTTAAATGAATTGAGATTTAACTAATACGTTATTATAATTTTGGGATGTGGTGTTAAGCCTAATCTGATAAGAAAATCTCCAAAAAGAGATCATGTGCAATAATAGTTGGTATTATATCAAGAAAACAATAAAAAAGGTATAATGGGCACATGAGATGTGAGCTAATCGAGCCAGAGGAAAGAGCTATAGCTCGGTACTTGGGAAGCTTGAGGATTTCTATTTGCAATGTTGTGCAATTACTGCCATACTGGTTGTTGGGGGATGTTTAAACTTTAGCCTTGAAGGTGGAAAGACAACAAGATAGAGCAATCAATAGTCTTCATTTAGGCATCAACCTTTAGTCAGACAATCACCTGTAGCTACCGTGGCAGACAAAGTTACCTCGGAGGAGTTAACAAGACATGACATGGGAATGAAAAGACAGATCGAAGTAGAATGAAGACGAAAAAGTGCAACACTTTCAATACAATACCTATTAGTAGGGGTTTTAGGTGCCATGACTGTGAACTCACAGTCTCTAGCTGTCTCACGAGCTGAGTTGTCACATTCACAAATTAGGGTGTCACAAGGAGGTAGAGGAGGAGTCAGCGAATAGTCTAGAGGAAGGACTTCAACTCCAGGGAGACGAGGGATAATTGTTAGTCATACAGAGATTTTGCAGTCAAAGCCGAAACAAGATCAATCATAGTTGAGATACAATATCTTTCGCACCAAGTGTATAATAAAGGGCTATGTTTGCAGTTTGATCATCGATAGTGAGAGTTGTTAAAATGTGGTATCCACTCTAATAGTGAAGAAATTGGGATTGGTTGCAGAAACATCTACAATCCCACTCCCTTGGTTGAAGAAGGGAAATGAGATAGGTGTGGATCAGTAGTGCTTGGTCCAAATTCAATTGGGGATCAGTTGCAGGAGCAAGCGTGGTATGATGTGGTTTTGATGGACGCATGCCATATTTTTTTGGGGAGGCTTTGGCAGTTCGACCATAAGACTCAATACTACGTCTTCAAGAATACTCACTCTTTTAAAAAGGATGGGAAACCCATCGTTTTGTTACTTGTTAAGGATGCGAGAGGTGTAGGGAACACCAAGGTGGCGTTTGTCCCAAGGACTACCTTCATGCAGTCATTTTGGGATGCTCTAGTGGCACTGCCATTAGTCCTGCTAGAGGGAACTGAGGGGCGGGAGATATCAACACTACTATAGCCACTATTACATAACTTCTAGGATGTAATGACCAATAGTCTTCCAAAGGGATTACCGCCATTGAGGGACATCTAACACGTCATAGATCTCATACCAGAATTAGTGTTGCTGAATCAATGTGCTTACATATTGAGACATGCAAAATACAAGGAATTGCAGCAATAGGTACAAGATCTCGTCACGAGAGGCTGCACTGTACAAATTTTTTTTTGTGGGATTGTTTTCCCCAAATGTGGATTAGAAGAATTATATAATGAAATGCTAATTATGCCTACATCTCGAATTAATGAAAATTTTATTAATAAGAGCTCTTCAATTGTAGCCAATATTTTATTACGATTAATTTCGACAACTTCAGAAGAAGAAAAAACATTTACCTATTACAGGGATGGTGCAATTTGTTTTTTTTTGCCCTTCAGTTTTACGAGAAAAAGAACGTAGTTAGGAATAGAAAAAAACAACTTAGTGAAATAAACCTACACTTGGTGAAAGTGAAGTTTAGAGAGAGCAATTCTTTCTGTCGTGTATCCTCGATTGATGTTGCATTAGATGCTTCAATTATCAATTAACATTCAACTCAATGTTACATCTATGAGTTTTGTATTAGAGGTCAATATTCAAAGAGAGTATCGGTCCGTGTGTTGTTCCCGCCCTCATGGTAACCAAAAAGGATGTTTCGTAGATGATTTGCATCGACGGTCAACAAGATTACGAGCCAGTACAAGTTTTCCATATTCCGCCTAGACGGTTTCTAGGACTAGCTACATGGAGCCACCATCTTTTCCAAGATCGACTTATGTTGCGGGTATCTCCAGATTCGGATGAGGCCAAGAGCCGAGTGGAAGACCGCTTTCAGGACACGAGATGGTTTATACGAGTGGATAGTTATGCCCTCGACAGTTTCATGAGGTTGATAAATCAGGTATTCCAAAATCACGTCTAGAAATTTGTGGTGGTCTACTTTGATGACATTCTGGTTTACAACTGATCTAAGGAAGAACACTTATAGCACCTTAGGCAGTGTTCAAGGTCTTGCGCGTAGAGAAATTATGTGTCCATCCAAAGAAATGACACTCCATGACATATTAGGTATGCTTTTTGGGTTATATCATGCCTAGTGCAGACATTTAGACGGACCCGACAAAAATCAAGACCATTGTGAGCTGGACCGCACTGCGGTCGTTCACCGAGTTGAGGCAATTTCTAGGACTAGCATTGTTTTGCAGGTGATTCATCAGGAGCTTCAGTACCATCAACGCCCCTCTGACAGATCTTTTGACGGGAGGCATTCCATAGGCTTGAGGCTGCTCAGAATAATTTCAATGCACTCAAGGAGAAGGTGACCCAGGTGCTCGTCTTGGCACTACATGACTTCAACCAGCTGTTTGAGGTAAAGTGTGATACATCTGATGTGGGGATATGAGCAGTGTTGAGCCAGGGAGGTCACACCATTGCCTTTTTTAGTGAGAAGTTGAATGATTTTAGGAGAAAATATTCGACTTACGATGAAGAGTTTTATGTTATTATTAGAGCTTTTGAACACTAGCGCCATTATTCTTTGACTAGTAAGTTTACATTGTTCATGGACTTCAAAGCCTTGAAATTATTTAACAATTAGAGTAAATCGAAGGGCCGACACACAACTTGGGTAGAGTTCTTAGCGTCAAAACCTTGTAGCAGATGCTCTGAGTCTTCGTCACTTGTTGATCACGACGATGCGGACGTTGGTCATGGTCTTTGAGGGAGTAAAAGAGCTATATGAGGCCGATGAGGATTTTCGAAAAATCCGAGAGCAGTGTCAGAAGAAGCCAGCCGAGCAGTACTACATAGTTGATAGTTACCTGTTCTACCAAAATAAGTTGTGCATTCCTAGATGTTCGCTGCAGGAATCTATCGTTCAGGAGAGCTACAGTGGAGGACTCACAAGACATTTTGGCAGGTATAAGACTCTTACACTGATGAGAGAACACTTCTTTTGGCCCAACTAGCGAGAGATGTGGAGCGACACATCAAACAATGCAGGAATTGTTATATAAAAAAATCTAAGGGCATAATGAAGGGTTATGCACTCTATTACCTGTAATAAAAGCCCCGTGGGTGACATTAGCATAGATTTTGTGGTGAGACTTCCGAGGACACAACGAAATAAGGATTCAATCATGGTAATGATAGATCAATTCTCGAAGATGACACTTTCGTACCTTGTTACTGGACACTGGATGCATTGCATGTCACTAACTTATATTTAAGGGAGGTTGTGAGACTGCATGGGACACCCATGATCATCACTTCAGATAGGGGTGTCAAGTTTTCGAATCACTTATGGAGGATTCTTTGGGGAAAACTAGACACTAAGCTTTAATTCAGTTTGACAGTGCATCTCTAGACGAACGGTCAGACGGAGGTATTAAATAGGAGACTTGGAAATTTACTGAGATGCTTCATTGGGAAAAATATAAAGTAGTGAGATTTGATTCTTACTCAAGCTGAGTTCATGTACAACATATTTATGAGTCAGACTACGAGCCACATCCCATTTGAGATTGTGTAAAGGGCGCAACCCACTCACCCCACTCGAATTGGTACCGCTCCTGTCGACGTTAGAGATTAGTGAGGATGCTAAGAAACAGGTGCATGAGATTCAGAAAATCCACGAGGAAGTCGAAAAAAGAGATCACTAAGCAGAATCAAATACCAAGCATAAGTGAACAAAACAAGAAAAAAGGTGATTTTTAAGGAGGGAAATCTAGTGTGGATCTGGCTGAAGAAAGAGAGATTTCCAGGAGGAGCATTTGACAAACTCAAGTCCAAAGCCTACTGTTCTTTCAGAATACATAAGAAGCTGAATGATAATGCTTACAAGATTTACCTGCCAGGGGACTGTAATGGTTCATCTACATTCAATATCGCGGATTTGACACCATACTACAAAAATCTATAAGCTTCGATGGATAAATTCAAAGCTCCTCCAACCTCGAGAGATTGACGCGCAGGGCTTGGCCTGCTAAGCCGACCAACCGGTTCAACAGAGGTTTCAGTCTAGCCTTCTGCTAGACTGCTCGTTTTGTTTTCAAGGGGT